TTTGTGCTTTAGTATGTTAGTCGGCAAATAAGTGTACTTTAAGTGCACTTTTTAATTTGACATTATTACAAAATGGATTTTTGTTCTTAAGTGTGTTAAGAAACAATCATGAAAGTACACTTAAGTGGCCTTTTATTTCAGTAATATTATATTATTTTCAAGTAAAGTTTTTTTTATATTCTTTACAGATTCAAAGTACACCACAAGTGCACATTCAATACAATTAAGCACACTTCTTTTTCAGAAAATGTAGTTCATGCTTGACCCCTCAAAATTCTTCCCTCAGCTTCCTGTTTAAAGCTAAAAAGGCAGCCATGATCGCTCCTCCTCCACCTCCACCTATTATGCCCCGTTTGTTTGAGGATGTGGTGCCTGACGATCGTGACGACCCAGAAATCATCCTCAATACGACCACAGTCAGTCTTCATTGCAAGATTTGTAGTATGTAACACACTGTTTGCTCTTTTTTTTTATTTTTATTTTTTACTTATGCTTCTCTCTCTGCCTGTCTCAACTGCTTAGTATTATTACTCGGTCCGTATCTTCGCCGGTCAAGAACCTAGTGGGGTATGGGTGGGTTGGGTCACCCCAGACTTCCACATGTATGACCTCAGCTTTGACCTGTCTAAGGTCCGTACTGTCACTTTGACTGTTGGAGACGACAAGGGCAACATACACGACAGGTGAGATGACAAAATTCTGCCATGTCAAATTATTGAAATGTAGCCCAATGAAGACAAATACAAGAAGCTGCAGTGTGGAGAGGCATTTAGTTAAAAATAAATGTTCGGTATAGTGAGGTGATGTAGGTGAATATCGATTTTGGTGCACCGGTAGCCTAGTTCAGTCACCAACCATCAGAATAGGTTGGGAGCAATCTAATGCCTACATTTATCATATTTTCAGTGTAGTATTTTGGATGTACAAAAAATTTGGAACTAGAACAATAATTGAAAGAAAATTACATTAATAAATATTTTTATTAATGAGTATTTATTCTTGATTTTCAAAAAAAATTTAAACAGCCTTGAAACAAGATAAATGTATTTGAGAACCAAATTAAATAGCAAGAGTTTTCAGAGGATATATTTTGAATTTCCTGTGACTTTGGCAAATAGTTCTTATTTTAGGCACAAACTTCACTATTTATGTGTCAGTGTCACATGATCTTTCAGAAATCACTCTAATATGCTGATTT